GTGAAACCAATCTCTCCACCTCAGGACCCGGGTGGCTCTCGGGGTCTGTGTTTGAATAGCTCAGTGTGTACTTGTGTGAGTGTGTGAAGAAGAGGGAGTTATAGTAAACAGGTTACGCTTTGGCAGTCATTTGTCTGTTTGACATCAGAAGACTTGAGCTGTGTTTTAATATCCTTTTAAAGACAAAAAAAAAATCCTTTATGGATACGACATTTATCATGTCCCCCTTCTGAGGATTTATAATAACTTAATTGATCCTGTGACATTTCATCTAGCACCATCATCAGATCAAAATATTAATTTGTCCAATACTTTGCTTAATTACTAAATAAAATACACATTAACCTCAGCAGCTTACTTTCTGCTCTTACTGTTAAAGTGCTTATGAGCATTTTAGCACACTGACACACTAAGCTAAGATGCTGAATATGGTAAACATTATATATTATACATTATACACATTTTAGCATTTAACTCAAAGCACCACTTTGCCTAAGTACAGCCTCACAGAGCGGCTTGTATGACTGTAGATAAGTGGTTCTCAACCTTTTTCATGGAAAGGAGTACCCTTAATTGATACACATTAGGTAACAGACCCCCATGTGTTAAGATTTTCACTTCAGGGACCTCTATGTAAAAAGATTTTGGTTGTAAGATCACTCATTCTTGAAAATTGGGACAGAACCTTATTTGAATTGTTTTCTTTTTTACCTTTCAGTTAGTCTGGGAAAATATATTTTCACAGATCAAAGTCTACTATTAAATACGACTATTTAACCTTGTAAATGGCTAACTTCCCTTTTGTTGAATAGGATACACACTGTAATGAATGTCAGAGGTAAGACCTGACAGAGCTGACCTTTTAAAGAGTTGACAAAAAGTTATGTTTTTATTAACTCTACAGTAGTGGTAGTGAGTAGCGATTCTATTTATTTATGTATCTATTCATCTGTTTATTTTATTCTTATTTAGTTTTGATGTAAAAGTCTTTTTGTAAACCAGGAAGTGAGAAGGGATTATCATATCCAATTTGGATTTGATTATAGCTAATCACTTGTATGCCTGATTAAATGATGTTTTTGTAGAAATGCGATGGAGTTAAAAAATCTGAGATGCATCTTTGAAGGGCCAGTATTTAAATAAAAAATATATTTTTTAAAACAAAGACAGTTATAACAGTACATTTTTACATTGATGTTATCAGTACGTACTGTTAGTTTTAGATTTTGAAAGCTTTTAACATGTTTTGCGTTTGAAGTTGTGAATGCTTGTTTGGGACCAGGATGTTTTCTGGCTCAGGGCAAATTATTAGTTTATATAGGTCTATACATATATATATATATATATATATATATATATATATATACATACATACACACATATATATATATATATATATATAATTTATACATAAATAACGGAGAAAGAATAAAGAAATAGAAATGAGAATTAGTGTGTTGATAAGTTATCTTTTTGATCACAATAGTCATCCTTATATTAGCTTTGCTTTTGTAGTGAATTGAATTATGAAAATTAACTAGTCTCCATTTTTATGGGGACCTCCTGGAACTCCCTAAAGGATCCCTGGTTGGTAGACCATAGAGGTTTAAAGAGGACCTGATACAACGTCCCATTCATTCTTATGAAAATTGTTCAATAGAGCACGGAGCCAAAAAGTTTAATTTCCCACTGATAAAGTTACCCAAATTTCCCACATCTTAGGGCCAGTAGAGCAAGCACACAAGAGACTTTGCCAGCTGAGCGACTAACTCCCGGTTTAGCGCTCTGCTAACTTGAATGGGGATAAAAATTTAATTGTGCGGCTCTTCTAGACTTTGTTATCATACCAAATCAATCAAATCCTGATAGTTAAAGAGTCACTGATGCTCAAATAATGCATCCACTGACTAACAGATGTCTCTTTCATAATGTAGGTCTATAGAAAAAATCATTTTGGGCCCAATGGCAACACATGACGGACACAGAATTTGCTACACTGTGTGGCCACTATGGCGCTAAGCTTGGCGCTGTTCCTGGGGGCTTGCTGTCGACTCTTGTTTCTTCCTGAGGAGTGAATTTTCCCCACAGATCACCATTATGAAGCAGACTTCTGTTAGACTTCTGTTAAACAACATCCAGTGCTGAAAAATGAGGCAGTACCAAAACTGCAGTTCCTCGAATGGCCACTCCAGGCTAGCTCCAAAAGTGAGTCAATCCCCACAGACACCCATGTTATAATGCCCAACTTCACAGCAGAAATAAAAACGTTTATCGCCTAATTTAGGGAGCGGCTGCTTTAAATGACAGGCTGTCTGAGGCGTCACCACAGTCTATTAGACTCAGACTCATCCCTCACTTCTCCACAGCTCCACTTTTGGCTCCAAAAAAGTAAACAAGATGGTGACAGCCGAAACGCTGAACTTTAGGTTTCAAAATGGAAGTTCACAAACGAATGTCCATATGTTTATATCGTTTTATATGGTCCATTTGCGAAGTCCAAAGTGCGTGACTCCATCCCAGTGTAAAGTCTACGGGCTAAGTGAGCACGCAGGTGGGAGCAGCAGGAGTGGGCTGCACGATGTGGAAGCAAACCTGGATGCTAGAAACTTTTTTTGGCTTGTGCGCTCAATGAGCGATTCTCATCCGAGTGAGTGGGCGCCATCTTTGAGTCGGTTATTCAGTTCTTATAATAAAAACGTTGCTTAGTCACACAGTTTCAGGCCATTATGTGTGAAGTATCAGTTAAGTTTGTTCTTGCCTCTTACGCAAAACCAGCAGTCGTCAATTTTTGTACTTATTTAGGTTGTTAAAGATACATAATAAATACCCAGAGATGCCACATGCACGGCCTCGGTGATGCCAGCAGCAGGTTTGGCAGGTGAAGCTGCCCGTCCTCCCTCTGTGTAATTGTGTAATTGACAGAGTTTGTCTCCACATTGTGGACATGAGCCTGTTCGGTGAGGCGCGCAGTGGCTGGCTGAGGGCTTTGATGCCACCCACCTGCACACCCACAGACACACACACACACACACACACACTCACACACACACACACACACACACACGCACACACACACACACACACACACACACACACACACACGTATATATAATCTACAGAGCCTCGTCTCTCACATCCATCTCCTGTTCTGTCCACGTGTCTTTGTTTGTGTCCAGCTCTTTTGTTCTCTGTCTTTCTTTCTCCTCAATTCCAAACCAGTTCTTCAAGATGCCTCGATTTCTTTTCTCCTTTCACACCGTGATTTTAAAAATCTCTGCCTTCATTCAGCTGCTTACAAACACTATACACAATACACTTTTGGCTCACACATGCATGCACACTCTTTTTGAAGCAGTCATTGAGTGCAATATGCAGTGTTTGCCCTTCAAACCTGCAGGTTACACTGTTGTCTGTGTAGTCAAGACTGTGGACAGTGTGTGTTTGGACTGGTCTGACAACACTAGTTGTTGTGGGGTCACGCCACTAGAGTAGGAGAGAATAACTGAGGATCCTTTCGGCTGTCAACTCCCCTGCATGGTGTTTTCTTTCAGCCAAGCAGCTGAGCTTTAGCCCTAAGGAAAGTGAACATTTCATCATCAAATGAGTCAAGATTGCTCCACGGTGTTCATTTCTTCATTCATTTTCTTCTCTTTTGTAGTTTCTGTTGACTTACGCAAAGAATGTGCGCACACTTAATTTCATTAAGCCACAGAGCAATTTACTCTGTACTTGTTTTCGTCCTCCTCTCCACCGTTTGCTCTCTCTCTCCGCTGATTTCAATCTATCACTGAATTTTCTCCAAGTCATTATCACCATAGCAACTGTACAGTTGTTCACTTTGTTTCCCCCCAAGCCCCTCATCACACACACACACACACACACACACACACACACATACACATATGCAAACACAAACACAGTATGATCGTGGTCTTTTAATTTAATTGTCATTTTTAGTGTTTGTTTGTTTTTTTTGTACGTTGGTGTTTTTTGAAAGATTTAATTCCTCGCAGTGATGTCTGGGGACCTTACTGCTATTATCCAGTGTGTGGTTGTGCAGTGCATTAATAGCTCCACCGACTCTTTGGTAAATAGAAAAAAAAAAACTCCCTGATGAAGCTTCACTGCATGAAATCACTAAATCAAATCAGCTCGTCAATCTGTTGGTTTGTTTATTCTAAATTCTTCAGGTGAAGATTAAGAAAGTTTAAATATGAAAATTTAAAAAACTATTTTTAATCAATCAAGTGTTGAATGTTGAGATCAGACTTTTTCACTGCTTTTTAAAGTTTCAGACAAAACAATATGTTGATCAATCAAGAAAATAATGACATTTATTGTTAGTTGCAGCCCTGAATTTTATACATATTTCTATATTTTTTTCTTGCAATTGACTTATTTGTCATACAGTGTGAACAAATGTGAAAACATCAGACTACACAGTCATTTTACCTCTTGAGATTGAGACATTAGGCAACCATAAAGTCCTTGTTGCCATGACTTGACTGGGAGACATGGCAGACTGTATGTTGGAGCCTGACCAATCACAACTTGCGTGAAATACATTTCAAAGTAAAGATAGATTTAATACAGAATATGAGTGTACTGATGAACAGATGATTTGTGCTGATTAAGATTTAACAGAAGTCTTTGGCGCTCGGACACCAGAGGGAGATATTTTCTGATCGAGGGACATCTGAGCAGCAGTAGGATAAATCCCCCCATGGAGTCCAGACACTGGTGGTGGTGGTGGTGGCTGCTGACTCTGAGGCTGATGGCTGCTGAGGCCGATGAATCCGTAAAGACTAGGTGGTGATGGGGAGGTGGAGGGCAGACACGATAGCAGCAAGAAAGAACTACGTCAGAGAAAGAACCATATTTAAAATGAGGAGCAGTAAGATGATAGGCTGACAGAGAACAATGACAATGACACCTAGAGACAGTGAGTGAGCATAGGTGCAAGGAGTGAATGGCAGGGTGAGAAACAAACTTACAGCCTGAGCATGAACAGTATTGTCTTCCTGACTGAACTTTCACAAGAGCTTCATATGTGGGTAATTGGGATGGAGCTGCGAGGAGCCAGCTTCCTTGTTCCACCTGACAGAAACAACATCATTAGTGTTTTTACTCTGCACAGGTGTGCATGAAACAGCGCTCAGTTCACCTATGGGTGAATGTCATGGTACACATTGTGGAAGCTGATATGGCCAGAAAAGACAAAACAAGTCCTGAAATAGTAGTCAGTTAGGACGTTATGAGGTGTGTTAGATGCTCAGTCAGGTGAGTTGTCTTTCAGACTACATGGGATGAATTGAGAAACTCCGAGATGCTAATTTTCATTTCAGACACCCCGTGTCGGTTGGGTCTTTGGGGTTTTTAACTGCTTGTAGCGCCATAGAGCATTATAAGTTTGCAAACATTAATGTTTAGCAATGTGAATATTAAAGACTTGGCTTTGCAAATGTTTTATGTGAACAAATCACCATAGTATAAAGAGAAAATAAGTCTGTATAGGGTGGTGGTGGTGGTGGTGGACGGATGGGTCAAACCAACTCAGACTTTCAACGAGGAGACTGGTGTTTGTGTCCTGTGTGAAACCAAAGTATCTGAGTTTTCTTAATAACGATGTAGCATAATACACTAGTAAGTCTAGCACACTATGCTAGTGACATCTGACAGACTCATTTTAAGCAAAATGATGGTGTTTTTTTTTTTTAAACCTAACCATGTGCTTTATTCACCTAAACCCAAGGAAGTAAATCCAAAAACCAAAGTTAACCTAGATTGGAGGTATATTGTGAAAAGAGACTGTATGTATTCAATGAGCAGAAACTGTAATTTTCCTGTGAAAATGGAATTTTATTTTTAAAACACTGCATGTAACAGGCGTAACTACGCTATCCCTGAGCGTCAAAACCTGATGTTGGAGGGGTAGAGCATCATAGGTTGACATGTAAGGCCGCTGACCAAGCTTCCTTATTTGATGAGTTGGGAGTAAGAATGTGTTGGAAACACTGAACATAAACATAGCTTTTATATGTTAACAAGAAACCTCCACAAGGCACCTCTAAGTCGAGGAGACGTGTGTGATTCCACACTGAAGGTAAAGTGGCATTTAACCGTAAGCAAATCCCCCTTTCATTTAATTTTCCAGTGGCCCTGGAGATAAGCAGTGTGCTGCTTAGGGACACTTCAGTGGGCAGGATGCTTAACAACAAGGTCTCTCAACATTATCTTATCAAATCAAACAAGGATGAAGATCACAGACTGTAAAACGCTTCTGCTTATGAAGCATCATGTGCAAAAATTACACTTTTTCTTTGTAGCCGTCAACCCAATTTGCATGAAGCAGATGTGAAGGCATCTCTGAGGGGTCGCCTGTTAACCAATTAACCCCAGACATGAGTCACATCGGTTTCTTCACTCCCACCTTCACTTCTTATGGCGATAATGTCCAATTAGTAATTAGATATTGTTATCTGATGTAAATGCCCGACTATAATTAGCGAGACCCACGTTTGACTCATTGTCACTCTGCTCTCATCATCGACCTCTTCCTCTATTCCCCTGCTTGATGCCGCCCTCGTTACGCTCCGAGGAATTCAGCATCATCATCTCGCCTCACTGGAACCAACATCCCCCCCCTGGTTTCGCCTCAGCAGCTCTGTCTGTTAGTGTAGACGGTTTGTCCGCCAGCATCTTCCCCAGACACAGCATGATGTCCAGTATTTAAATGGCTGAGAGGATGTTTGATACAGGCGGAAATGATGACTTAGCAAGTCAGTTTTTAGATGTGCCAAACTCCACTTTTAGATATTCAATGTGTTTTTCATTTTGTTTTGTTGTCTCACTACCAGGGCATCAGAATACACAGCTTGGACAGTGGGTGCTGTTAAGTATCTGTGTAAGATGGCCCAGGCTTTCCACCAACTCCAGTGTAAAACCATTGACATCAGACGCTTAGAGCAACACATGTAGTTTAAAGACCGGTGTTCAAGACCAACAAAAACAACGCAGATTGGAGCATTTGTTCCCATTGAAGCTAGAGATTTTTTTAGCGACATCTGCAATCTTTTCCAAACCATAATCAAATAGTTTTGTTGCCTAAACCCAACTGCAGACCCCTTCTTACTGCCGCGTTTTTGCAGCGGCATCTGCAATCTTTTCACCGTATCAAGGAAGTTTTGCCCAAACCTACTGTCGACCTCTTTGCACCAATATACAATGCAGAAGGCTGCCCCTGGCTTCATTTTAGTAACACCAGGGACATCTGCCCAAGTAGCAAGTTACAATGAGTAGGAATGAGATCACTTTGTGTTTTGGATCTTACATAATTGACTGATGATTTGATACTTAGTCATCTATGTATCATGTATCAGGCGTAGCATCAACAACAAAAACCACATAGGCGAAACAAACCTCAGCCTTTTTTGTGTGCATGCATGTTTGCAAGTGCATCTTAATCACGTGCAGAGATGAGTTTCCTTCAGTCTTCTCTCATCTCCCAGGCTTTTCACCCATGGATGGATTACTGAATGATGTTGGAAGGCCCAGGGGTCCAAAAGGCCCCTAAGCCACAGCCTCTGTGTGAAGAGACTGTTATGAATACTTTGTCTCAGTGTTAAAGGGCTCGGTCATCGTGCTACATGTTGAGGCTGTGCTATCTGATTTGCATGGTGTCAAAGAGATCTTTGTATTTCTTCTCTGCTGGAACAAATCAGAAGCATCTACAACTGTGCATTCACTTGACCAAACCGTTGATTTTAATGTGGCAGCGTGGGCCACGATGAAAGCTGCCAAGAGTGCTGCCTCTTCAAGTGTTTGCACACTTAAATATTATGCATATTCTTTGATACGTAATCAAAACAAAGAGAGGAGCAGGCTCAGCTTGTGGACAGAAGTTCATTTAATAAAGCTACAGCAGGGCTAGAGAGCGCTCAAAAATGTTCTTCATTTCGTCTTTTGGCAGAGCAAGAAACATCTGTGTGTTCAAGCGGACTAATGGTGTTAGCAAGATGCCTTGCTGATATATTATGGTTCATAACCTATAGTGTGTTATGAGGTGTGCAGTGCACTGTGCCATGTTATTTATGTGTTTAATACTTGACTGTAATTCTCACAAACAGTTTATCTACTTTATTGCGTTTGGGGCCTTATAGACTTTTTAATTGCAGATAATTCTGCAGGAAAGAGAGGCTTGTGCAGAGAGAGATTTTGGTTCAGTTGTGCTCACACTTGGTGTTGTTTATACGTTCTATAATCTCTGTGCTTTCAGAGCAAGGAGAGAACTAATTTGGGGTCAGAGGAGGTGAGAAGGAAAGATAAAGAAGAGTTTTTTGTGTGTTCCTGAGCAGTTGTTCAGTATGGCTGCAACGTACTTGTGCAATTCTCCAGGTTTATGCACCATCACGAGGCTCTGAGATGACCTAAAGGGAGGAATAAATGCACGCAAGCATGCAGACACACACACACATGCAGAAGCCCAGAGCGCTGAACAGATTATGTCTTCACACCCGGCGTCTTTCTCCAATGGGCTGCACTGAGAGGAAGGCTCAGGATGACTGTGAGTGGAACCCCTACCATTTTAATTTCACCCATGACTCCCAGGAGGAGGGGAGCACAGACAGAGGGACAATGAGTAAAAGGAGGAAAACATATAAAGGGAGATGAGAGAGAAGAGAAGGCTTGGCATGAAAGTGAGAAACATCCAGGGCTTGCTGTCCAGAGACTTGGAGGGACAGGGAGTGAAGAAAAGGGCTGATAAAGAAATAGAGATCAGGGAGATGCTCCGAGTCCGTGGTGTCTGTTGTTCACTCAGTAAGTCTCTTTTAAGATTCCCACAATCGACAAGTTGAAAAGAATGTAGTCAGGAGGAGGCGAAAATGGTTCGCAGAAGGAGGGAGACCAGGAGAGAGGCGACTCAGGACATGAGGGGCGCGACCACTACGCCATCTGCTTTTGTTTTTTCTCAAGAAAAGCCTCCAGGAAAGGAGCGAAAATAGGCATGCTTACTAAAAAGAGAACATGCTAATTAGACATTTCCCAGACCCTCACGCCACTGACTCATTCCCCTGCCAATCACACCACAACAGCTCCCTCCTCTTTCATACACAGACTTTCCCTCCACGTCCCTCCATCGCTGTCTCGTTCTCACTCATCTTCTGCCGTCACTTTCCCGGCTTGAGAAAAAAAAAAGGGCTGCTTTTCAGTGATGTGTGCCCACTTACTCAGTCAGTGGCCTGTATAATTACACATGAAGCCATTCTGACACATTTCAGCGTGATGGAGGCGACGCTGGTGGGGGTTTATCCACCCTCATTTGCAGGGCTTTAATTACAGCCATGTTTGTTTTGTGGTGACTGTAGAAATTAGCTAACCTCAGCTATCACAATAGTGACTGGGGAATATATGAATCAGTTTCCAACAAATCAAACTTGAATGACATGAGTACTGCACATGCTGCAGAAAACACTTTTTTTTTCAGAATCTTATCCAGATTTTTCTTGGAAGCCTATCAGAGCATCAATCCCCAATTGCTCATTAGCTCGATTTTTACTCATCCTCAGTGCCAGATGTTCGGGCCAAGATAAACAGTTGCTCAGTTAGGCTGCTCCTGGCACCGTGCAATCACTGTACAGTGTGTGTTTGTGCCTCAATAACACTCGAAGACTGAAATGGGGAGGGTGCTGGGAAGGCGTCCAGGATGACAAGATGGAGAGAACTGACACCAAGCACAAAAACACTCGAACCTTACACGTTCCCACGCACTGATAACGGCTTGACATTTCCTTTCTATCTGGATATTTCTTTCTTTCTTTCTTTCTTTCTTTCTTTCTTTCTTTCTTTCTTTACTTCATTCTCTGTTTCTGTTCCTCTCAGTCTCGTTCGATACGATGCATCATATAGCTAAAACTCAATTACCGTACATAGAAACTAAAGTGACGCTGTGATAATGATAGTGATGCCCCTAGAAATTTTTTACAGACGTGGCCAGATGGGGCCACTGAAAATCTTGCGGTGGCACACCAAAACCAAAAGCCCTACCTGAACCTCAGGGATTCTGTTATAGTGTTGTAGTATACAGACTAGTTGATATCTAAGTCCATATGGAGAGTTTCTTATTTTACAGTTAGTGTTACTAATTATCTGATGTGTATAGACTAATGCCGCTACAGTTAACTTTTGGAGCTCCACAGCAGTGGTGTTTTTTAGGGTTGGGTACCGTTTGGGTGTTTTACGATACCGGTGCCTGAATCGATACTTCAAAATAAAACAAAGCACAAAATGACAGTTAACATCATCAAAGAATGCCTATCGAATGTGAATTTGAACAATATACATACAGTAAATTCACATAATTAATAAAACCCAACTACTATAATTTAACACTAAATAACAGTGACAGTTAACGTGGAAATCCAGATGCCCCGCCCCTAGCAAATTCGAATTTGCTCCGCACGGGGATTTGGCCCCGACGAGCAGAGCCCGTTGAATCGCCATCGGGCCAATCAGATCAGTCTATCTGACAGAGGCGGGCTCTGGGCGGGCGTAACATGATGTGTTATGCATGTTATGTGAGTCATTGTTCTTTAAATAGGCTGGTTCTTCTTCTATTTAAAAGATAAATATACAGTGTTAACTTGAAGGTGTACATTGATTATAAGGAACAAAACATTTACTGCTCTCTCGAGTTTAGGGAAGACTCGTGGGTCCCCATAGGACCCATTTTTATTCAGATGTTTTGAGGTGAGAGTTCAAGGGACCCCTTTGAAAATGCTCATGCCACTTTTTTCCTCACTAAAGTATAGCTTAAATGTGGAGCATTATTTACCCTTCCTTCTGCCAAGCTATGCTGACATGATTTGTACCAATAGATACCTTAGTTTCATGAGATACCACCCGCTTTGCACTAGCAGCTTCTTAAAAGAGAAATTCACCACAATTTATGTGGAAATCCAATCGGTGTTGATAGGAAATGCAGTTGCTTGAAGCTCAGTATATGTTGTATTGACAGAGATGCTGGTTTTTCTGAGTTTTCCTTCTTGCACAGCCATTATGAGGATGTATTGCACCTGAACCCCTGAATCTCATCTCCCCAAAACTCCCCAGACCTGCCCAGCACAAGGAGGTCGACGTCAAGTAATGCTGTCTGAAAAAACTTACTTCACTGTTCTGCTAGATCACTGGAAAAAACAACATGAATTTAATAACACTAGTGTTATCAACAACAAACATGCCTTATTGTATAGTGGCTGGAAGCTGTGTACCACCACCCTGGATACTCAGAAGTGGAGACTAGAAATACAAGCCGAGAAGCTTGTAGTCCTTCCGAGTACCACTGACGTCACCGGTTCGTGGAAGAACAGAAGGTTTTGAAGCAGCCCCCAGAGAGCACTATGAAAAACATGTTTTATGCCACACTATAACCCAAATTTGTTCAGATGAAGTAAACGTTGAAAAATGGCATTTTTTTTCTCCCCTTTCCTTTTCTTATAACGTTATAGTTAAGCCTAAAGAGGTTCCTCTAAACCTCAAACTATGCCATCTGAATATTTATCTGAGAGCTTTGTGGCCTCAAGAAGCAAAGGGAAACTTTTTCTTATTAGCAGCAACACAATGTAAAGAGTGTTCAAGGATAACAGTGGCACATTGTGGAGGTTACCAGCGCTTGACTTGCTCTAGAAAAAAATCATCTGTTGTAGTAAGCACAAACTTGGCAATGTCCAGCAGGTGGTTGAAGTGAAATATCTCAACAACTATGGGATGGGTTGTCGTGAAATTTAGTACACACATTCACACTCCCCTCAGGATGATTTTTGATACCTTTGGTGATTCCTTTGGTAACTTTTTATCTAGTGTCATCATCAAGACATAACTTTGGTTATGCCCAAATGTCTGCAAAACGTCCCATCAGCCTCAGCTATTCTCTCCTAAAATTACATTAAAGATATGTTTTTAAAACATCAATATCTGATATTTTTTGTCTTCCCATCTCTGTCTCTGTCGCCCAGGACCCCAGAAGCAAGCACAAGTTCAAGATTCACACATACGGCAGTCCCACCTTCTGTGACCACTGTGGTTCGCTGCTGTACGGCCTCATCCACCAAGGGATGAAATGTGACAGTGAGTAGACATCCTCTGTCTATGTGCATGTGTGTGTGTGTGCACCTGTGTTGAATATGCTGTGCTGGTCGGCCCTAATGAGAACAGATGGGAATAGACTGGTACTGTTCTACTCTCAGCCACATCTGCAGCCCAGGCAGAATTCTCTGTCCCGCCCTGCCGAGTCCTCTCTGCGCTCCCATTCTTTCCACCCACACTCCTCTATCAACTTTTCTTTCCTTGCATGTATGACCCCCAACCTGCACTCATTTTAATTCCCCTCTTCCTCCCACTTCTTCTCTTTCTTCCCTCTTTGCTTTCCCAGTTCTTCTCTCTGTACTCCCACACATCCTGCCCTCTCTTTTTTCTCTTCATCATGTTTTTTTTTAATCATCCCTCCTCCTCTGTATCCCCCCCCACTGTACCTCCTCTGTCCCCCCCTGTCTCCACGCCATCTCCATCTATCATCCTCTCTCCTCCTCTTACCCTGTCCATCCATCTGTGGGTCCCTGGTGGTGGCCTCGTCGCAGATGCTAATGGGAGCACACCAGAGCAAATTGATGCAGGGAGGCCATCGCCATGACGAGCTGCTTCCCCAGTCTCTCGTCACTCCTTGTCTCCTCCCGGCATGTCAGCCTGACAGGCCTGCAGAGTGATGAAGGAGGAAGGGGGAGAGAGCAGGGGAGATGGATGGTGGGATGGAAGAGGACAGAAAGAAGGAGGAGGTGGGAAAACATGAAACACGGAGGGGAGGAAGGGAGGAGAGAAAGTTAGAGGGCAGAGCAGGAAACGAGGGGGAAGAGGAGAACAAAATGCTCTCTATCCCCTCTGGTCCCTCATCTGTTTAGCTTCGTCAAAGTGTGTGTGTGTGTTTTTTCACCCAGTCTGACACAGTGGAGGCTGCTAGTCCAGTGGATGGGGATCTCTTCTGCTCACAGCGATTATATCATTCCTAAGTTTATGTGGTGATTACTTATTGATGTTTAAATGCAACACAGCACCTCTGAGAGAAGCAGAGGCTCTTTTGATAACTGCTTTTTCTCTCATTTAAAATAGACGTTACTGCACTGAATCATCCCCAAAACAAATCTTTTGCCACGTTGGGTCTGCAGCCTTGTGTGCATCTGTGTGTATGTCCAAAAGGAGGACACCAAGGAGCCCAGGAGTTACGGACTCGCTCCCCGGTGCTCTGAAAAGTTAAACTATGGCAGGCAACACTTGATAGGAATTGACTTTACACCAGCACACTGTGAGAAGAACCAGGGCAGCTATTCATCTAAACTTACGCCTACTCACGAACTTCAGATGTCTCTTAAGTTGAAAAGAATAGGCCTTAGATTGCAGCAGTAGAGAAACAGAGGTGAGGAGACTTTTAACAATGACTGACTCATGATGAATAATACGTTGTCTGAAGCAATATGTGTAATTATGTTGCAGCTGCTGCGAAACCCACATTTGTTTTGTTTCTGTATTCCTCAAGGTTGCAAACAACATGAATAAAGCGGAGATTGATTTCGTTTGCAGTCATGTTTTACAGATCTTTGTGGCGCTAAATCCCTCTTATTATACAATTTCTCTCGTGTCACCACCACTAGCAGTAAAAAAATCCTCCTCCCTCCAGTTTCAGTTTCTTTTCGTTCTCATTTCAGCCACCCAGCTGGCACTAGACGTCATTATGATGTCAGAAAGACATTGGACTGTTACGTTGGACACATGTTAAATTTTGGTCGGAATGAAAATCAGGCTGACGATGTTTGTGGATGTTAACATCATTTCTGCAAGTGAAATTATTACCAACTCCGTGGTGGTGCTAAAAAGAGGAGCCGCTGAGTAGTGTGGAATAAACTGTGGTGTCCTGAATGTTTTACGAACAGCCCCGGACTTCTCAGACTCTTTTAGTGACTTACCGCTCAGAGGGAACTCACTCAGTGGCTCCTCTGGTAGCAACGCAACGTCTCTCTCCTCTCTCGCTGTGTGCACACGGGAGTCGGTGTTGTCAAATGATTTTTTTTATAAACCTCTCATAATGTAAACCTATGTGACGCTTGCAGCTCGACCAAAAAAAACTACATATATGTGAATGTGTGATAGTTGTGGTATCATAACGGCTTGTCACAGGTTACAGTGTGATGATTAGAGGAGAAATGGCAGAGCATAAAGGTCCAGGTGGGAAAAAACAACTCAATCATTTAGGATTTTGCTAAAAGAAGGAAATCACCTGTTGATTTATATATATATATATATATAGATCCCAGGGGACATTTTTGTATTAGGGAGCTGTGTAAATGTGTAATTTGTGGTAGATTTTATTTTGTTAAACTATTAATATTGTATACAGAATCTGAATCTCACTCTGAGTTACTGTTGTTATTCACAAACTAAGGAAATGAGAGATCATTTTTGTTTAATTTTTACTGATTATTTGAAGGCAAACTGTAAAACTATATCACTTATTTTGTTGCAATTCTATTTTCTTACATAAATAATAAAACATATACTTTTTTTTACTGTATTTTCATATTGTTAAGAATTTCATTATCACTAAAATACCCTGAAATATTGTGATATTATTTTAGGGCCATATCGCCCACCCCTATCATCAAGATGACATTGGCATGAGACATTTGGAAGACATTGACTTTTGGTTACTCAACAGCACAACTTAAAACATCATCAGTCGTCAGTAGGCTTTAGACGTTGTCATGACATTGAATTTTGGTCACCCAATGCCACAACCTAAATTCAATCAAACATGTTAAATGTAGTTGGTGGCAAGCTGGGCAAGTATCTCCTATTTCATCCCTATTTTTATATGTTAAAATATTACATTTTTGTAGATTTTTCCATGTCATTTGCTCAGAATTCTGACATCTGATTGGCTATCTCTGCTCTGCACAAACATGTGATTCATCATTTGACTATGCAGGATTTTCCTAAAAGAGCAATGTATAGACTCATACTAGAAGTGTGTGGGTGTGTATTTATCTGCAGAGGCTCTGCCCTCTGACTGTATTTTCTTATTTTCTTCTTACTTTCTGTGTTGGGGATGTTAATGGCCGCGTACCCCACAGTGCGCAGGTGAGGTCAAGGCTTTATAAAAAGGTAGCGACCAGGTGTCAGACTGTAGGCAGCACCCATTCAAGAGACATGCACCAAACAAAACGAGAATACAGCAAGGCGAAATGCCAAACCAGAGTGAATCTGGAGTTTTGTTGGTGAGCATTTTTATAAACAGTAACTGACAATCCTGCATAGTACTGCATACCTTTTAATGTTACTTCTAAGTTACTCCCTTAATTAATGTGTCTTAATCTTAATCTTTGTGAAGAACCTCTTTGATATTAAATTGGCTCAATGGAGCAATTTTAATTAAATTATAAAGAAGTTTGTGCCCAGATTTATAAAGATGAAACCAAAGGGCTAATTTAGTTCATGGAACATTAGGTTTAAGTTCAGGTTCACTGAGTACAAAACCACAACTCCCTGTCCCCCTTTTGTTTGGTGTTTATATAATATTCTAAGAATATGTTTTCCTTAATTTTATTCATCTTTAGTTCATTATTATTTTGTGATGCAGCAGAGCTCCCTGCAAAATGTTGCTCTGTGCTCACTCTCTGTCTGCTGTCATTGAGATCTCCGTAGAGTAAAGGTTACATCAAGTTTCTTCTGCCCACCACACACCAACTCTTTTTCACATTTTCTTCGGAGGTAGAGCCATTTTCCACACAAAAATGTCTCACAATTTGCATAAAACTTTCCAAATTCAGTGTAAAGTGCAATCTTACACTCACTTACCCTAAGCTGTCCTCCCTTTATATGCATGATTCACTCTGTGGAATAAGGAGAGAGGGTTCCTGAGAAAGTCCTCCACAGATAAACTCAACATTCCTCTACATTCTGTCTCTTTCCAGCCTGCGACATGAACGTACACAAGCAGTGCGTGGTCAATGTGCCGAGCCTGTGTGGGACGGACCACACGGAGCGCCGGGGTCGCCTCTTCCTCAAGATCGAGGTCAACTTGGACAGGCTACACGTCACAGGTTGGTTTGGTTCTTAATCGCTGTGTAGTTTTGTGATGTACAGTGCTCCAGGCTGCTCAGTCTCAGAGTGATGTGAGGAAGAGACTCCCTGATGTGACTGTGAGTGGTTGATTTTCAGACCATTGAAAGAAAAATCTCTGGGTTTATTCATATTTATAACTTTGGGTGACTATGAATGGCTCAGACTTGTGTTTATAAACTACTGTTAAATGTGTTTATTCTGCCAGACTTTTGCTTTATGTGGTCACTCCTTCTCTCAGGAACACTGAGAGGATGCTGAGGAACTTTTCTCTGTCGGTGCAGGCTCTTCACTTTTGTTGCCAATGTTTTTAGTTTGGATTTGGATTAATATCAACTCAGCTGACTCAACTGGGAGTCTTTCACAGCACACAGATAACAAATGTCACTTTGTTGAGGTACTCCAGCCTCCAATTAAAAGCCAGGACCAGTGCTGGGCTTTGAGGAAATTTTGGCAGAGTGGCAAACTGATTGGAACTGCAGGTCAAGTGACCCCTGACTGACCCATAAAAGACTTCAGCTCATACAACATTAGGATAAAAAAAATTGTTGTTAAATGTCACAAAACGTCTCAAAACATTATTTGTATTTTCACAATTCGAGACTAAAAAGTCTTAAATAGCCAAATGAATAAATTAGTTTTGTGTTTTTCACAATAATTCTGGGAGTCAGCAGGAAGTTGGCCAGCTTAGCCAGAAAGGGACTGCAGTGTGCACACTTTGTGGGCCATGTCTATTATTTTTCCAGCCAGCTTTTGATGAAACCACACCCACTTCTGTATAAAGAAAATGAGCTGATTGGCTGCCAGTCTATAGCTGCAAGTAGTACTGCGGCACACAAGAAGTTGGGTGCTGGCTCAGAGAGGGGTCTTATAGTTGTGTTCTGTGAATCGGCACAGCTTGAGTTCATCAGTGGCTTTGAGCACCACCTTTGCCAAAAACACACAGGACTCCCTCTCATCCCACTCCTTAGAGGCAGGATGTTGCGTTTCGATGCTCCTCTACCTCCTTTGTGTATCGTGTCTTGTTTACATATGTATGCTTCCCCTGTGCTTATCTATTTTTACTAGTAATAATTGGCTGAATTCAAGTTGATGCAGCTGTTAAAGGAAAACTTTACCCATTTTTCAACAAGCAAGCACCGGGAGCTTCTCACTTATTTGTTAGTAGAGTTCTGCCAGACTTTTTCCTGCACACTCTGCCCCCACTGCGTTGACACAGAGAAAAAAATTCCCTTTAAGCACTCATATTGCTACTTTCCAAGCTACTGTAGCTGTCATACTTTGTGGAGATGGACCCTGAGTAGCTGGGCTACCTCTTGACTAGACTCACAAGTCAGTCTTTAGACGCTTTTCTTAACTAAAGACTGATGACTTTCTCCCTGATTTTGTGTTTAGATGGGCAGATACAATTTCAGAGTTTAAAAAAACTCCCTACGTTGCAGAACCAATAGTAAATCTGCAGGGCGGTCCTTCGGTGGCTCGCTGAACTCTTGTGCTTGTAAACAAAGTCCAACTAGAAACAAGTGTAGCGGTACAAAATGGCTCAGCCGTGCTCGCAGAAAATGGCGTCAAAGTTCAGTGGATGTTTGTCGCGTTTGCGGCGACACATTCTCGCCAACTAAAAGAAACAAACATAATCGTTTACAAGGCCATGACTCATCCGTCCGGCCGGACTATAGAGGGAATTGCCTTGTTGTTTACAAATACTTCCGGGTAGAAAACCAGCAGAGCTTTTAGCTATATATATAGCCTATATATCAAATATTTCACATCACTGTATCACCGTTTG